GGGTAACTGTACAAATGCATTATTATATATTCAACGTCATGCTTATAAATATTTGGACAATCAAGATTGTAAGGCTGTTCAGATCTTTACTATGGACTTTAGCAAAGAATTCGACTCAGTTAATCACAGTTTACTCTCTGCAAAACTTAAGCAGCTACCGCTTAACCCCTACATGGTTAACTGGTGCCACAGTTTTTTTTGCATGAACGAGAACAGCATGTTTCATCTAGTAACCATGTTTGTACTTGGCAGGTAGTTAACAAGGAAGTGTTAGCGGCCCGTACCTTTTTAATGTTTTTCTTAATGATCTACATATTTTTAGCTTTTGGCTTCAGCATTCTTGTAAGCGGTCATGAGGGCTTTCAGCACATCCTCGGTTACTACTTTCTCAACCCTTTCTTCACCTGGAGGTACCAAGGTATGATAAAGCCGCTTACCGTCGTTTGGGGTTATCACATCGCACACTAGCATGCAGTCTTCAACCGCTGTACGGGTGTAGTAATAGGGAGTTTAAGCAAATCACTACGGCTGGCGCTGCTACGGCTATCGTGGTTGACGAGGCTTGGGGAGAGTACGTCGCAATAGCCCGCCAAAATTCAACTTTAAGGAACGCGAACTACAAGCCTAGTACGGCTGAGAAGTTTAAAACCAATAAATTTAGCGTCTTCGCGGTAGTTTTTGCTCGTCTAAAAACTCAAAATGACTTCGTTCAAAGGGACGAGGTATTCCAACGTTTGGAAAAAAAAATTGTAAGCGATCCTGTGCACAGTGAATTAAAATATTTAAGCTTACATGTTGTAAAATTGCCAGTTTGGAGCTTATAAACACCAAAGCAAAGTTTCTACACGGTCCCTCATGACCCTCGTCATTCCTCGGCTTCAGCTATTTGAATTTCAAGTAGTCTTTGAGGTTTGAAAAGGAAAAGTTAGACTTTCTACCTACGCATTTCACTTTGCGTTCGCTGCGTTCTCCATGTGCACACTGCTTCGATCCTTCGACAAACCCGGCGGCAAAAATAAAGGCAGATTCACTCGGTAAGGGACAGCAAGCTTGATAAATATTCCCGATAAGCTATTTTTAAAGATGTTAAGTGTATTTCAATAGTTAAAATTGCTCAGGAGAATGTATAAAGCGAAGAAAGAAGCGAGATAAGTTCACGTACCACAGACTACGCCGAAACCTTCCCACTCGCGTAGAAGGATTTCCCGCTACGGCTGGATGGGAACCACTGACATGCGCAATGACTCGTTTCTGGACAATTTTACTTCCGGTAGCCGTAGTAGCGCCAGCCGTAGTGACTTGCTTAAACTCCCTGATTGACGTATGATCGCAGTATAACCACTATTGATGCAGTATACTTCTAGTATACTTAAAGTATACTTCAAGGCTATCGTTTTTGGTAAGGGATTTACTAATCAAATTCTCCTAAGCAAACTCTGAATTCTCTGGTCTTTGCCGGTATATTGTGAACATCCTTTAGTGAGAAACTAATCTCCCACCTTATTTCAGTCTGCAGGGCTATCCTTGCATAGTTTGACTTTCATGTGCGAGTGACGCTCACGGTTACGCAAATGACAAAGTGTTTGCTCGAGTTCACAGGTGACGCTATATTCTTAATGTTGTTTTACCATATTCCCAAATAGTCAGGAAACTGCAAACTCTCATCATAGCACAAACTACACATGCATTGTAAGGGCTTACATAAAGTGCTGTCCCTTCAACGGGTAGGGTATGAAAAACTTGGTTTATCTTCCTCAAAGGATTATTGTGGGATACCGCCGTTGTTGTGTTGTTGCAAAAATGGAGTAAAAGGATGGAACATGCCAAAGTTTCTCATAAGATTAACATTTCTCCACAATAAGCCTTTCTTAGCTATTAGAAAAAGCACAATCTGCTTGAAAGAAGCTCAATCCATTCTGAGATACGTTAAAACGGATGACAGACATAATTTCACCCCAGTAATTTCCACTTGTATGTTATATTTCCAGACGTTTACACTAGTCTGAGCTACACATCGAATGGTACTATCTGTAATGTCACTGACATTCTTTACAATCAAAGTGGCCACTTCACTGGTGTTGACAGCAAAACGATCGTCACTTATTATTGTTGAGGGTACACACAGGTGGCCCAAGCTCTGTCACAGGCTCTTTCACAGTGAATAATTAAAGAGTTTGTATAGTTGTTTAGTTGGACTTGCTTTTGAGCTCCGTAAATGTAAAGTTGTGTGAAATTGAAGTTGGTGTTCTCCTCGCGATTTGAGGCCGTTTTGATGTGTTTTAACTTGACGCCCTAAATTACCGTGCATAAAGTACGGGAAGGTCGGAAACTTCTTTTGACACATGCTCGCCCGTACTTTATGCACGGTAAATCAAGTTAAAACACATCAAAACGGCCTCAAATCGCGAGGAGAACAACACAGACTACTCTCTACGAAGGTAAGACTTTATTTCTTTGATTATTTCACACAACTTTACATTTACGGAGCTCAAAAGCAAGTCCAACTAAACCACTATACAAACTCTTTAATTATTCACTGTGAAAGAGCCTGTGACAGAGCTTGGGCCACCTGTGAGGGTACAGTGGTTAGAAGTGCAATCTGATTTCCGTTAAAAACCCGAGTGGTTAAGAACAGTCCTTCCCCTCCTCCCAATACATAGTTCCACGTTAGAGCCACATTAGTGCTTCCATTCAACGCTGGAAAATTAACTGTTCTAATGTCGTGTCCGTCGGTTGGAGTCGAGGCTGGTGGAGGAGCAGTCCATGTAAAGGTTCCAGCTTTAAAACAAAAATTTTCGCGTTAGAAGAATAGAATTGCCACATTTTCGACAGCACTGCGCCTTTCACAACATATTATGCTAAACCTTTACCTGCCAGTGAGAAATCAGTGGTGAACAGCACGAAAATGCAAGTTACAAACATAATTTGAAATAAACGTTCTTTACAGCATGAGAAGATATTTTAATAAACGGACAAAACACGACCGAAGCACATGATTACGACAATCGCGTATGCGGAAGTAGAGTAAGGTGGAGCAAAGATGGCGGAATATTCCAAAGATCTGCTGTCCTCACGTGATCGATGTCTTACCTCAGTAAGAGAGGTATCCGGACAACTTGCCCCTTGGACAATTAGCCCCAGACAACTCGCCCCCGATCTTCAGACAACTGGCCTCCAATATGAAAACATCTATGTCACGTTAGACAAATATATTTTTATGCTCATAAAGTAATAGTTTCTTGAAAGAAGAAGAAAGTTTGTTTTTTAAAGAACATCACGAGACCGAGACTTACGTTTTGTAGCGATCGATTGTGACAATCGGGTAAACACATGAACGTGACCATTAAATTTTTGTAATCCAGCCATAACATTGGAAGTTGCCAGAGTGAAACAGATCTAATTTTTTGTTTGTGTGTTTGTTTTGAAGCATTCTGGAAGGAAAGTTGAGGTTGGAGAAGGAAAAGACGCGAATATGTAAATACAGCACCATCTTGGTTAAACCACGTGTTCAAGTGTATTATGATGTAACCATACTCATTCCATATGTAAGGATTATAAGAATACGTTCATTTATTCATAAACACAAATATACACGGACAATACTCCAAAACATAAAACAAAAACAGTAAAAGCTGTTTCATTACAATTACTTCAAATGTTATGGCTGAATTAATACTACAAACTATGGCTTACATTCTTTCCGTTATTCAGCCTGCAAACTCTGGAACTCGTTATATCAAACTCTCTCAGAACCGCTCCTACGACGAAGGCATTTAAACTAACTGTGAATCGAATTAAATTTAATCGTGACTGTTGTTCTTTTTGTAATCTAGCTTGAAATTTTAATATCTTATTTCTATACATAATTGTTTGGTCTATTTAATTTTTATTTTGTTATATTTTCGAAGATATTAGCATAGTTGTTTGCTGTCTGTAATTCGAAGTTAAATAAGGGTTTTCACTTCACTTCGTGTGTTTACGCGATTGTTGCAATCGATTGCTACAAACGTAAGTCTTGGTGTCGTTATGTACTTTAAAAAACAAACTTTCCTCTTCTTTCAAGAAATTACTACTTTATGAGTATAAAAATATATTTTTCCAACGTAACATAGGTGTTTTCATATTGGGGCCAGATGTCTGAAGATCGGGGGCGAGTTGTCTGGGGCTAATTGTCCACGGGGCGAGTTATCTGCGTAGTTACTAAAAGTTGGAATCACCTGAAACCACCTAAAACCATCTGAAACCACCTGAAACCATCTGAAACCATCTGAAACCATCTGAAACCATCTGAAACCACCGATGAAACCACCTGAAACCATCTGAAACCCCCAAGGAAACCATCTGAAATTACCTGAAAATATCTCGAAACAATTTAAAACAACATGAAAGCACCTAAAAAATTACGGGTAACATNTTTCAGGTAATTTCAGATGGTTTCCTTGGGGGTTTCAGATGGTTTCAGGTGGCTTCATCGGTGGTTTCAGATGGTTTCAGATGGTTTCAGGTGGTTTCAGGTGATTCCAACTTTTAGTAACTACGGAGTTGTCTGACATTCATAAGAGAATATCCTCTGGGCCGTGTGAATGAGTGCTAACCTTATTTACTGAGTTTGCCTGCGTCGGTTTGCCTACGTTTTGAAGACGACTCAGGCAGGAAATGAAACGTGCTGTTGACGATGTTGCCATGGAAGTAAATAAATTAAGACAACACGTGAGGACAGCAGATCTTTGGAATATTCCGCCATCTTTGGTCCACCTTACTCTACTTCCACATACACGATTGTCCTAATGATGTGCTTCGGTCATGTTTTGTCCGTTTATTAAAATATCCTTCCGTGCTGTAAAGAACGTTTTTTAAAATTATGTTTGTAACTTGCATTTTCGTACTGTTCACCACTGATTTCTCACTGGGAGGTAAAGGTTTAGTATGCTGTGAAAGGCGCAATGCTGTCGAAAATGTGGCAATTCTATCCTTCTAACGCGAGGATTTTTGTTTTAAAGCTAGAACCTTTACATGGACTGCTCCTCCGCCAGCCTGGACTCCAACGGACGGAAACGACATTAGAACAGTTAATTTTCCAGCGTTGAATGGAAGCACTAATGTGGCTCTAAGGTGGAACTATGTATTGGGAGGAGGAGAAGGACTGTTCTTAACCACTTGGATTTTTAACGGAAATCAGATTGCACTTCTAACCACTCTACCCTCAGCAATAATAAGTGACGATCGTTTTGCTGTCAACACCCGTGAAGTGGCCACTTTGATTATAAAGAATGTCAGTGACATTACAGATGGTACCATTCAATGTGTAGCTCATACTAGTGTAAGCGTCTGGAAATATAACATACAAGTGGAAATTACAGGTGAGAAATTATTTCTTTCATCAGTTTTGACGTATCTCAGAATGGATTGGGCTTCTTTAATGGGCTTCTTAGCTATTCTAATAGCTAAGAAAGGCTTATTGTGGGGAAATGTTAATCTTATGAGAAACTTTGGCATGCTCCATCCTTTTACTCCATTTTTGCAACAACACAACAACGGCGTATCCCACAGTAGTCCTTTAAGGAAGATAAACGAAGTTTTTCATACCCTACGGTTGAAGGGACAGCAGTCTATCTAAACCCTTACAATGCATGTGTAGTTTGTGCTATGATGAGAGTGCATGTACAGTTTCCTGACTATTTGGGAATATGGTGAAACAACATTAAGAATAATTATAGTGGACGTCACTTGTGAACTGGAGCAAACACTTCGTCATTTGCGTAACCAAGTTAAAAGTCAAACTATGCAAGGATAGCCCTGCAGACTGGGATTAGGTGGGAGATTAGTTTCTACCTAAGGATGTTCACAATATACTGGCAAAGACAACAGAATTCAGAGTTTGCTTTGGATAATTTGATTAGTAAATGGCTGTTAAAAAACCATGTAATCCCTTACAATCACATGCATAATTTCAGTTGTCTTTTTTCTGATCGAGACACTGCAGACACTGATGAAAAATAGTTAGTGGTGAATAAACTTTTTACTGCTTAGATTTGTGAGAAAAAAAACTATGATGTTTAAGCCACAGCTCTCATGAATGATCAGGTATTTTTCAGTGGCTGGGAGGAAAGTGGTTTTTGCCAGAAGTTAATTATCATTGCTGTTGAATTCTTTAACTCTTGGTTGAAGCGTACTGGGCAGCAATTTCAACTTTATTGTCCTGAATGTTTTGCTGAGGGAATAAGTTATTTTAGAGGAAACATATTTGTTGCTTGGTATTTGTGGTTGTCTATATGTAATACTGGAGACTACAATTTTTCAGGCTTTTGGATTCGCACACAAGAAGACATCAAATTGTTAAACTTTCTTTTTCTGAATCGTTTAATCATACTGAAACATTCTGGGTCGGTTATTTATGATAGACATTGTTTGAGGCGAAAACACAGTTTAAATTTTGTTTTGACAAACAACAGTTAAAAAATGTTTAAATTACATTTAATGAAATACTGCTGATCCATGTTTATTGCAGTCGAGGGGCTACATCCTAGGAGGGAATGCATGGTCTTTTGAGTGACTTGCATTCACATTTTGAAGGTTTTAATCAACAAAGCCTGAAATCCAGCTGAACAGCAAATTTTAGCTCAGAAGAAAACCCAATGCGGTGGAATCGGGAAGGTTATTCTCAGATATAGGAAGCAGTCAGCCCTCAACATCCTGTGAATGATGGTGCATGCGGAATAAACAGACTTGAGTAAATCACCAATAACTCACTCAAAAGACCCAGTTACATAAAATTTCAGAGAAATTAAGAGTTGTTGCATGATTGTCAGTGCTGACTGGCAGACCTGTCCTTGTTTGATATTTGAGATTGTGCTTTAACCACGTGATGAGGTCTGCAACTGGGTCCTTTCCGAAGTGAAAGTGAATTCGAAAGTCTTCTAAATTCCTCTGAAGGGTTGATTCTATCTACTTAAGTAGCTGAATTTTTCTAGATTACAGATGATGTCTATTGGTGTGCTTCCTTAACTGTCTGTAACACAGCAATCCATACATTTTAAAGTGACTGGCAATGGAAGTGCTTCATAAACAGTGTCTAAACCTACTACCAAGCAGGTTTAAGTTGCTAATGTGGTTAAGCAGTGGTTAAACATGGTCTAAACACACTTATGGATGATCAGTGCTTAAGTAATCAGTTTCTAAAGTTTAAACAGGATGCAGACAGTGACTTTTATTAACACTGTTTAAACATCATTTAAATAATAAGCTCTCTGTTTCCCTCAATAAAGCTGGGTTGTTTAGATGTTGTTTACAACACAATAATTTTGGTTTATCACCTGAGTTGATGATAAAATTAATGTAAACTGGCCACCATAAAAAGTTTCAAAGCTGACTTTTTTAGTGTTAGGCTGTGGTATGCATTCAGCTGAAGGATTTTTATTGAGATTTCATGCAAGGTTATTTTGATATAGTGTTCAAGCTTCTCAAATTTATAGTGTAAACACATCCAAAACCATCAGAAAATTTTTGACCAGTGCTTTTATTGATAGGATGAATCGTCAATAGTGCACCTTAAACTTTATACCAAACTTTTGATCTGAGATGCAGGGAGGAAAGTTGACTTAACTACATATTTTCAAGTTATGAATCCAAAGAAAATTTTATACAGTCTTAAGAACTGATTGAACTCAACCATGACGACTTCAACATGGACAAAGTGTGTAATTCTGCGAACCCCACTCAAGTGAGGTTTATGCATATGTATGAGCTCTGTTGCCTAGTAACGTGTGACATATTTTACGTTACATTTCACTGGGAGTCTTTGATGGAAGCTGTGTAGTAAAACCTGTTAAGATGCAGTTGGAGAAACTAAGGATAGATCGAGAAATTTGAAGCTAACTATGTTAAATTTGGAAAGCTTTGTTTTCTTAGTGGAAGTGTGGTATAGTTCAACGAGCAAGTTAGTAAATGGATTTTAGTCTTTTGAAACTTGTTAACATACATGCCCCCTTAAAATCATTATCTAGACATAAGGCAAAGCAATTCTCAAAACCTTGGTTAAGTAGGGGCTTGATTAAATCTATAAAAGTTAAAAATACTTTGCTAGTCTCAGGTGATTACCAAAATTATAAGTTGTAGAGAAACAAAATTAGTTATCTGGGGCCCGTTTCTCGAAAGTCCCGTTAACTTAACGGGCCCGAAGCCAAGTTTTCAAATCAAAATTTAAAGGATAGAAAATCAGGTTCTAGCACACAAACTAGTCCATTTTGTTTCTTAATCTGGCAGTTTTATTGTATTATTTTCAAAACTTTTGAAATCCCCATCGTGAATGAAAACAGGACAGCTTTTCGGGTCCGTTAAGTGACCGGGACTTTCGAGAAACGGGCCCCAGGTCTCATATGACATAGTAAAAGGATATACTACTGCAAATTCTTGAATGAAAACCTACATAACATAAGGAATACTTGGGCTGGTATGAATCAACTTTTGAATAGACAAAAGAAAAATTCTAAACCCGTAACAGTACTTAAAAGACCTAGCTGGTACCGGTGAAATTACTACTCTTGGTTGTGAACTTCCAAACATTATGAATAACTACTTTTCTTCTATCGGGGAAAGTTTGGCAAAAAATGTTCCACCCTCTAAGAAGCATTTCAATGAATATTTACATGATCGTCATTCTATTAATTCTTTCTTTTTGGATCCTGTCACTCAATCCGAAATAGACCGCGAGATTTTGTCATTACTTTATAATAAATCATATGGATTATATTCTTGGCCAACTCGCCTGATCAAATGCGCTTTTTGTATCTTAAGCCAACCTCTTGCTGATTTAATTAACATCTCTGTAAGCTGTGGTGTTCACCCACCCCAATTGAAACATGCCAAAGTCGTGCCAGTCTACAAGTCTGATGGCGACACAGAGCCCAGGAACTACAGGCCCATCTCTCTGCTTTCAGTATTCAACCGTATCTTTGAAAAAGTAATGTATAATCGCCTTATTGCCTTTGTCAACAAAAATGACCTACTATATAGATCACAATACGATTTTTGGGAGAAGCATTCCCTGCCGTCATGCGCTACTCGAAATTGTCAACAAAATTGAAACCAATATGGATAATAAGTTATTTTCATGTGGAATATTTTTAGATTTTAAAAAAGCTTTTGATACATATATATTATTAGACGTTTTGTTGTGTAGTATCGCTGAGTATTTTTACGAGTTGTGCCGTATTTTGATGAGCCCGTAGGGCGAGTCAAAATACAAATAACGAGTAAAATACTCAGCGCTAAGACACACCAAAACATCCAATAAGTTATTTATTATCCAACGCCAAACTGTTATTTTAGTGCGGGTGAATTTCGCGAATATTTATTTACTGGGAGTGCGTGACAGAAGTATGCAAAGCGGGACGGAATTGGCGCATTGTCGTGTTGCTGTTTCTATTTTCTTCATTAAATGAAGAAATTTTCTGGTTGTCAAGCTGTTTTTCTTCGTTCGATTCATCTAATAAACTTTGATCTATATTTGCCAGCCATTCTGACTCTTCCTTGTCGGAAATATGATTCAAATTGTCCGCATTTTTTTCCTAACTACAATCCAATTCTTTGCTTGCGTGATGAAAGAAAACCTGTTTAACTGGTACTCTACCATAGACGAGTACAAATACCGTGAGATATTTGTACTCGTCTATGATGTTATTTGTACTCTATGAAGTGTAGTTGGATAATAATGTTGATTATTCCATTCTCTTGTATAAGTTATACCACTATGGAATAAGAGGAATTGTGAATGATTGGTTTTCCTCTACCTCTCCGACCATTTTCAATCCACTCAAATTGATCTCGCACAAAAGGAAAATTTCTTTTGGTGTGCCACAAGGATCTGTTCTCAGCCCACCTCTCGTTCTAATCTATATAAACGATATCCCCAATTGCTCTGAAATTCATCTCTCTATGGACGTTACCAATTTAATAATTTATTATATGCTGATAAAAGTCTGAAATCATTTGAGACTGTTGTTAATAACGAACCGTCTGAAAAACATTACTGACTGCATGGCTAAATGCTAACAAATTAACTTTGAATACTAAGAAATCTAATTATTATAATTATATTTATTATCTTCCACCCCTTACAAAAGAGACTAAACTCAACTATTGACTTAAAAATGATTGATAACAATACTAACACTATCACTTCTATGGAACACAAAGAATATGTGAAGTACTTGGGAGTCCTTATTGACAGTACTCTAAGTTGGAAACATCATATTAATTACATAGTTTGCAAAATAAGTAAAACTGTAGGTGTAATCGCCAACATCAGGCGTTTTGTCCCGTCTGACACACTCCTCAAAATCTATTATTCTCTGATTTTTCCCTAAATACACTATGGCATAGTTACTTGGGGTCAAGCAGCTGAAACTCATAGGAACAAAATCCTTCTTTTTCAAAAGTGTGTTCATTGATTTATTTATTATGGTATGGAATACAGAGCTCATACTATACCACTATTTATTTCTGCTAATAATTATTTTACCGGTTAACATGTTGTACCTTAAAACTGTGGCTGCTCAAATACATGATGTATCATCTGGCGTTACACCCTCTAAAATATCAAATCTCTTTACTCAATCTCATAAAATTCACACATGCAATACGAGATTTTCTAATGCTGGCAATTATTATGTCAACAAATCAAGGCTTAACCTACAACTCTCTTCCTTTTCAACACTTGGTCATAAAGTATGGAATAATCTTCCATGTAGCTTGAGTTCCTCGCCTAAAAGGTCTTTTAGCAAAAAAGTCCCTACACTTTTGTTAAAATTACTCAACATTGAAAACAATTAGGACTCTAAAAAAACAATTGTTGCTAAAACGACTACTGGACTTATGGAACTAAAGCACCTTCCACTTCTATATTTATTTACATCAGTAACCTACTGTAAACTATTCATACTTCAATTTACGTTATTTGCTTTGTTGTTACTCATAATCAATAATTATACTTATAATTTTCACCTTCAAATTCACAATTAAACACAAACAATAAAGATTTCGTCGATGAAAGATTATGCAAATTTAAGCCTGAAATTAAAGCATACCGTGATTTGAGCTTTTTGTTTACGTGAAGTTTACAGAAGTTTAGCAAAAGTCGGTCTCCTTAAAGCGAAGACATTGTTCACTAAAGGGAATTTTATGTAGCTAACTGGTGCTTATTTATTGGCCTTTTATTTCGATATCTTGTACCGTTTCTTTCGATTTAGATCACGATTTCATTTTGTTCTTGTAGCCGTAAACAAATGAACTGAATGTTCGATCCCTGATCTTTCGTGGATCACAGACGCGAAGATTCCACTCTGCATTCCAGTCGTCAAAGAACACGATCATGAAATTATTGTTCACTTCTTTAACAGTGCATGCACACCAAACTCCTTCATCGACTACTTCAGCTTTGAAGCCAACAGTTTTTGGAAGCGCCATCTCAATTTTAGTTAGCCATGCCTTTAGCTTAAGCGATCAAAACAGGTTTGATCGAGAAAACCGGTCAACTTGATTTGATGAATGTACAATCGGTCGCTAGGATACTAAGTGGTGTCCAGTATCTCTCGGTAATTCTAGCGCCTCATTGCGCATGTGTTGATTAAAACCAGAATTCTTAATGAATTACACACTTTCACCGTGTTGAAGTTGTATAAATGAATAATATTATTATTTTTTATTACAAATTGCTAGAATGACTTTTGTGACCTACTTAAAGTTACTTTTATACTTTGATAACCTCCTAAGGGTCTTTATCATATCAGGGCTTCTGATGGAATGTGATGGTGTGATTTGGTATGATTGACCTCAAATCGCATCCACTCGCAAAATTCATGAAAAATTGCATAATTCATGAAAAATCACATGATTCATGAAAACTTCCAAAAATTCCATGAGGTAAACGGTAAATTAACACTTTATCTTAAAAAAATCTCTTATTTACTTGTTGATTCAACTGGATTTACCTTTGAAAAGGCCTGAGAACGTCAATATTGTAAATACAATTGAAGTTCAAGGTGTCTTTGTTACATGTCTGGGGTCTGGCACTAGGTCAAAACGTGGACACCATATTGAATGCACTTGGCCAAGGTCTGGGTCGGTAACCTGTCGAACCAGACCTTGGCCGCATACCTAATGTGGCATCCTGGTTGAAGTGCGCATGCTGAATTAAAAACAGTTTAAATTGCAACATATCTGCAGATGTTCAGAAAGAAGACATAGTAGATGGCTTTCACGTCTTCTGAATAGTGAAAAAGAGGTTTTTTTTTGTTTTCAAAATGTAATAAAACAAGCTTTACAATTATCTCAGAGAAAAATCGTGCAATTTGCTTAAATTTTTTTACTGTACCCTATCAGAAGCCCTGTCATTTACTTTTGATAGCTTGTAAGGGGTCCATCATACAATACATGCAGTTATTAAGCATGCCTTTTAAATCTCAGACCTTGAATTTCTACTGCTGAGCCTACTTTATATTTGACTGTAATTTTTCCACTCCTTCAGAATGGCTATTGGCTTCAACAATATTCTAAGTACACTCTCCAACTTAAAGGTATTACCTAGTATTCAGTGCATATAGATCACCTAGATTTTGGGGGCTCTTGCACTATGATAAATATCAATGTGGCAAATGCGGGAAGAAAAAAAATGTCACTGCATGGGATACAACTGTATGACCTGTAAAACATATGTTGTGCCTTACAGAAATGACAGATCTAGCAAGGATTGCTAATATGCCTATATGTTTAAAGCAACATGTTTAGTTTCTCTTAATAAGTAAGTTAGTGTTAAAAGTGGAATTGGTAATTAGTCATCACTGCAAACATGAATAAGATAATACCTGTAGTTGTATTTTTGTTGCTGGCTCTGTATCCGAAATGGTTGTTGTTGATTCCTCTTATCAGTTCCTTACGGATCATACAGTGAGGTCACCACAGATGTGAGGGGAAAGGGGGGAATTACAGATCCCTCTTCCCTGGATCCACCACTGACATTAAGGGGGCAACAGTGATTAGCTCAAAATCTGGTCAAGTTGTATGATTTTACTTTTCTGCATAGTCATGTACTTGATCTAATGAAGAAGTGTATAGGTGTAGAAGGCATGGTAACTGCATTGAATACAGCCACTGTTGTACAGTACATATACATGTATACTGCAATTGTTTGAGGTGGAAGCAATTAAGAAGTTTGTCGTTGTAATAATAAAACTACACAAAAGCCATTTATTGTGAGTCATATTTTATCCTTTTAGTTCCACCAAAGATAACTTCAACTGGTGACAGTCAGATTGTAACTGAGGGTTCTGGACTGGTTTTGTTTTGCAATGCAACTGGTAAACCAGCACCAAACATCACTTGGACCAGAGTGTTGGAGGTCGGTACTGACAGTCAAGAGCTGTTTGTTGGAAATCCTTGGATTATTGTAAACATCAGCAGAACTTCTACTGGAACGTACCGCTGTACCGCTGACAATGGAATCGGAAGTCCAGTCAACCATACAATCTCTATGAAAGTACTTTGTGAGTACACCTTATTCTTCTAGCTGTCGTTAGTTCTTTTTATTTTGCTTGATTTCTGTGATCTAGCTCTATCTGCAAGTACATTTTCGTGCCTTGTATGTATTCAAAACTCTTCTTTTCGTGGAGGAGGCTGTGGAGTCTATGGGTGGGGTTATGAACTATCTCTTCTAACAGATTGGTTGAAATTTCTTCCCTCCTCTCGTAAAGTTTCGGTAGGCCAGCTGTTTCTAGTGCTACACTATATGACAGGTCAGGATAGATGGTTCTGAGTGCCCTTCTTTGGATCCGTTCCAAATCTTCGCTGATGTAGTTTGGTAGAGAACGGTGGAATACAGGACTTGCGGAGACTGATCTGAAAGAGTGTTCCAAATCTCGGCGGTGTAACGCCAAGATTTTAAGTCCTTAGGTGGTTGTGTTTACTTTGGGTAGTTTGAGGATGTGTTTTCCTCTAAGATTATAATTAGTTGATCGTTGATGCAATAGCTCTCCTATTCCTCTAGGGACTTTATACTCATTGATAACTTTGTAGACACCGATGGCCATTTTAACAATTCTTTGATTAAAAAGAGACAGCAGGTTTAGTTGTTTTAGCAACGTCTCGTACGTGGTTGACTTGTTACGGGTCTAATTGGCTTCTTTAAATCTGATTGTGCCAGTCTGATAGCTACCAAAGGCTTCTTGTGAAGTGAATTTCAATCCTATAGGAAACTTTGGCACGCTCTATCCTCTTTCTCCAATTCTAAAACAACACAAGATGTTACTATTCAATGTGTAGCTCAGACTAGTTTAAACGTCTGGAAATATAACATACAAGCGGAAATTACAGGTGAGAGGCAGATTAACTTTATGTTGAACGTTACTCAAGGTGCCATCCTCTAACCTTTAAGTTAAAGGTTAAGGTAGACGGGAGCAGTACTGCGACTTACATCAGACTAAAGCAAGTCAGAAACAGTTGCTCTTAAAGACCAATTTAATTCTTTTTAAGCATGCCAATGAAGTGCTATTCTCAATTTATTGCACAGAGCTAAAAAATATTGATTGACCTCGGCAACTCTTGCTAGACCTGGTTGTAATAAATTAGGTTGTGATGTGACAGTTCACTTACTAAATATGTTTCTCATTGCCTGTCGAGTCAAAAATCACGAAGCAAATGACTACTTTCGTATGGACCACCACAAAGCAGGCAAACCAGGGCCTTTTCCCGCCAGTTCCCTCTTGAAGGGAAAAGCGCCCTGAGAACGAGGTTGATCCATCTGTACTCGTAAAGAAAACCTTGAAATATGTCAATCACAACCCGTGTTAAAATGGTTTACAGGATTTGATTTGCTAGTGACAGACTGTGTTTCAGCACAGCAGTCAACAAAATGTAAAGCCTTGCTTGAAACTTTCGACTGAAATCCGGCTGAATAATAATAGTAATGATAATTACCATTTATTAGGCGCAAAATAACATTCAGTTTGATCAAACTGTGACTCATTAAAATTACATTTCCCGCATGACATACAAAACAAAGGAAGCTTTGAGACAAAGTTGCAAAATACTGAGCTGAGTTGTTTTTTAAAGATACAAATGTTTTGGTTTTAAAGATTTCATTCTTTATACGCCTTTTCTGTGCCTTTTGATGTGATGAGTAGCTTCATCTGCATTGTTTTCTTACGAACATAGAGCTTGCTATATATATAAAAAACTGATTCAGGTGCTTGTTTCCCACTAGCGTTGCAGTTCATCTGAACTGAAACACGGGGTAGCCACTCTTCGTTACCTTAACTCAATTACTGATCTGTAAGAAATAACTACAATTAAATCAGTGTCAAATACTGACTAGAAAACTACTTTCTTTATAATATAATTTACAAATATAGGGTCTTTAAAAGTTCTTCCTCTTTTTCTGCAAGCTATATATTAATCATTTTCGCACTCTGAAAGCCATGTATTTCTATGAACAATTACCCAATTTGATTTGCTTTCATGCAAATGACTAAAATCAGGTAATAAAAGTATTACAGTTACTCAAAAGGGAAAAAGAAACAAAAATAAGAGAACAGCTTTTGGTATGTGTAAACTCCGAATGCCCATGTTTCTCTGTTTCCCACCTTCTATCGCATGTTTAGTCATCGTCCTATTTTCTTAAATTATGCTCAATTACAAAGGCTGAACGGCACGCGAAAAAAGCTATACACCCTGTGCACGGGAAAAAGCCTCAATTTTAGTGTCCCCGTGGATTTCGAGGACTTCGAAAATTTTACGAAGAAGAGAGGATCAAGCGATAAAATGATTAAGTCGCGAAGATTATGAGGCCGCAGTTAAAAAATCCTCCATTTTGTTCCGTAAGGGAAGAATTAAGAGCGTGTCCACGAGAAAACCGGGCAGAACTAGGCGGGGGCGATAACGCTCAAATCCCCAATTTGACTCAAACTTGGAACAAATGCTAAGCATCATGATTTAACAATGTGCGGAAATACTAGATCAACATATTATCAAAGTTCACTGGGCAACCGGGTGGACAATCAGATATGGTTTTATTCTACTATGGTTAAGGATTTACTGAAAGTAATTAGGGAATTACAACTCACGGACCCAACTTTTCGACACTCCTGTCTAGCTAGTCTCCCGCTAGTCTCCTGTCTAGTTAGTCTATCCGCCTCCCGGTTAGCTCAACGGATAGAGCGCTGGACTGTTGTGCGGGAGGTCGAGGGTTCGAGCCCCGGCCGGACCAACACTCAAGGTCTTAAAATAATTGAGAAGAATATGCTACCTTTCTATAACATTCAAGAAATGGATAGAGAGTCTAGTCTTCTCGGATAAGGACGAATAAAACGGAGGTCCCGTCTCCTACAGGGTTAGGGGTAGGAGACGTTAAGTTTCCACGCACGAGATTACTGTGTGATGGATGTCCTCCCCTGGGGTGGAATGGGCGGGTTTGGATTGATTGTATAGCGCTGTTGATCTGTCATTGTAAATAGCGCTCTATAAGTGATAAATTGTAATTGTAATTGTAGGTAGTTCATATGGGGTTTTTTAGTCGTTGCAAAAAGAGATCCTTTTATATGCTCACTGATTAGTAGCCCTTTGTTCTAACGAGATGTAAATAGGCGTGAAGTAATAAGTCGCCATCGTCACGATTTAAAGGAGCGTGGGAGGAGCTGACATGCCAGGCCTCCAAACAAAGGCGCTGGTGGTAACACCGATTAGTGGTGATATCATTAGTAACACCGGTGGTAAAATCGATCAGTGGTGGCATCCCACCCGATTGTATGGTTAGATAGGCATGTGTGCTCCGACAAAGCTGAATTTTCTTTTTTCCGAAAGGAGACAGCTTTTTGCTGCTCTGTCAAACGTGTACCAAACTGACGTTTGGTCTGTCCGATATGCTCGTGATTATAGTCATTGTACGGAATAGAATAATTACGTGAGCGTCGGTTCGTTTTTCATTCGTGACAGGATCCTTAGGTTTGGCAAAAGTATGCCCAAAGTCAGAAGAGGTTTTTGAGCAACTTTAACGTTGTGGCTATTCAAAATTCTCTCGATGGGTTCCACAACACCCTGGATGTAATGAATAACAGCAAACCAGTCGCTGGTTCTTTCTCATCAGGAATGTTACCAGTGGTAACTGCTTTCTGGCGGTTACTGAGAAACGTTTTGGTATAGCCATTTACCTTTAAGACATCGGAAACGTATTTTCTCTTCTCAGCCTTCGAAAGAAATGGAGATGGTAGAAAGTCATCCCTCCTGAGTAAAGTTTTAGTTACGGGCTTTTTATGGCAAATAGGGTGGTGAGAGTCAAAAGTGAGATACTTGTCCAGGGTTCGTATCCTTTTTCAGAAACAAATTTCAAGGACTTTTCAAGGACTTTTCCAGGCTCAGATTAATTTTTCCAGGACCCCAAATTTGACCTTTAACCCTTTCATTGCCAAGATTTCAAAATCAATTCTCCTCCTTTCAGTTTATAAAATTCTTTTATAACGTAAATTCTGAAAACTTTATTGCTTGATTTAAGCAAATTTCCAGAACTATTCCGACCCTGTAGTCTTTTTCTCAAACTTTCCAGTACTGGAAAATGTCAAAATAAAATTCCAGGACTTTCCAGGTTTTCCAGGACCCGTACGAACCCTGTTGTAGGTGTGGGTCGGTTTACGATAACACTTGTTTCTTATTTTCGTTGTTCCGCCTCGCACAATTTTAAATCTAGAAAGGGCAAGTGTCTATCTTTTTCTCAGCCAAGGGCGAATTGGATAGACGGCTCCACTGAATTCAAATGCGATAGGAGGAAGTAGTATACAGTAGTGACATTACAGTAATGACGGCTTATGTCCACGTTTTATGGCTTACCTAAAATCCATACTGACGTGAAATTTACGTCTAACCGCTTTTGGTCTGTTTCATCAAAATACCATAAACCACATCTTTGTTTAATTAAGTTAGATAACTTAAAATTTACAAGAAATTTGCTACAGAGTATCTTTTACACCTGACGAGGAGAGAATATTTGAATAGCGCAAGTTGAGCCCTTTTTTAGAACTTTTTCCGCAGCCATATTCGTATTATTCTCGAGTAAACGCAGCAGTTGATGATGAACATCAAGGGGGCATGTGGTCAAATTTTTATCTGACAGAAGAAATCTATTTAGAAACTTAATACTACATTCATGTCTCTGAAGTGCCTCTGTTACAACCATTGGCTTGATATCATTTGTTAGATAATTGGCCATCATGTCAACAATGTACCAGATCCGATTTGCTTTGTTGCCTCGTTACTTCGGGCTTCCGTAGGAAAGCCTGAGTCTGAAAATGCAAGCCGTTTCGGTCGCCAAAGTTCAAATAGTACAATCGGCCATGCCTCCTAATAGCAAACTTTGTGCCATCCTTGTACGTCAGTTCAGCAGAATGTGGCTGGAAAGTCACACTGGCACCCCTCCCTGTTGCAGCTTGGACTGAGAATATGTCCTGAGGGTAAGATGGTATGAACAGGGTATTTCGCAGAGTTGCCTTGACAGGCGTTCCAGACGAGTCAGTAATGGTGATATCCCCATCTCACCTTTTCTGGGCAACACTATTTGCTCAAGTTCCATTTGCTAATTCAATAAAGTGCTTGTCTGATTTAAATGTGTCATCAAACTTTGTGAACTTGGACACATCAGTAATAATATGAGCAGTTGCACCACAATCAACTAAAAGTGTGTCTAGCTTACCAGATGTAGGCTCGCCCGAGACATTCTCCACCACATGGGCATTATTCTCAAAAACCAAATGAGTGTTCAATGTCCTGGTCTGTTTTCTAAGATACTTAACCTTGTCACCTTTCTTTCTTTTATGACGACATGCTTGATCACTCTGCGACCTTGCGCGACACATATTGAACCATTTCCCTCCTTTGTGTTTGTTGGGACAGAAACGAGCTATATGGTCTTGTTGGTTGCAGTTGAAGTAGGTAACATTTCTTTTTCCTCTCACTGGTGGATTTGGCCTTTGGAAATTGTCTTCTGCTTTCAAAATGGAGTCGTTACCATCTGCTGTTCTTGCATTCTCAGTGTCCTCAAAGCTTCCTAGAGAGGCTTTGAATTCGCTAAATGTTTGCTGCTTCTTGCTCTGTGTGACAACTACAACAAACGGTTTGTAACTTTAAGGTAATCGTTCGAGTACCATCGCTATAAGAAGACAGTCAGTAACCGTTTCTCCCGCATTTTTCAAAGCTATTGCCGCCGCTCTGATTACGTTGTCAATGACAGACTCATTCGCCGATTTAACTAAGGATATTTGTTCGGTGTATAGCGAAATCACGCGCGGTTTCCCAGTCCCAGAGTAATGGGCTGGTAAAATCTGCAGCGCTTTTCTTCCATCGTCAGTTGCATTTCTCATTACCAGCGCTAGGCTTTTGTCATCTAGGAACTGGATTAGTTCGGCAAACGAACTGTCGTGATGGGGTGGGATTTCAATGGATAAAAGAATCTCAATCAGAGCACATGAGTTGGTTACATTAGACCCGAAGGAAGGAGATCCGGGAATGTTTTATTGCTATAACTTATGTACTACATGTATGAGGTCACATTCTGTAACAGAAGCTACAAAAGAAATCATCTCCTGTGGACTTCTGTTTAAGGAACCTAAAATTGATCATTTCAGACTTTTTGATGAATTTTTTGACGAAGAATGCGCTCAAAACGGACGAAACTCACACAATTAGAACTGGTTTTGTAAATTCGATTTCCCTAACGGACATCAGTCAATTGTTATACTAATTTCTTGGATTGTTTGGGTCAGGTCTTTGTTATATGATTCGTGCATAAGTCGAGGGTGATGTTTTTGGCTGATATTTTGGTCCTAAAAGGTCAAGTTATACACGTGTAAATACGGCAAATAAAAATGGTGCTTCGTCACTGGTGCTTGACTACGCGACAACTAAAATTGAGAATCTAAAACCAAAGTTGTATGATTGAACCTATCTGTATTCATGGATGTGATCGGAATGAAGCAGTGTAGGGCCGCAGGTGTAGAAGGCATGGTAACTGCATACTGTACAGCCACTGCTGTACAGTACATATGCATTTATGCTGCAGTTAATTAGCACTCTTTTACCTTTTGAGATGAAAGTAAGCACGAAGAATGTTATCATTGAAATAATAAACGCTATAAAGCCATTATTATTTGTTATGTTTCTTTCCTTTTAGTTCCACCAAAGATTACTTCAGCTAGTGACAGTCAGAATGTAACTGAGGGTTCTGAACTGGTTTTGTTTTGTAATGGAACTGGTAAACCACAACCAAACATCACTTGGACCAGAGTGCTGGATGGTGGTACTGACAGTCAAGAGCTGTTTGTTGGAAATCCTTGGATTATTGTAAACATCAGCAGAACTTCTACTGGAACATACCGCTGTACCGCTGACAATGGGATCGGAAGTCCAGTCAACCATACAATCTCTATGAAAGTACTTTGTGAGTACACCTTATTTTTCTAACTGTCGTTAATTCTTTTTATTTTGCTTGATTTCTGTGATGTAGCTCTATCTGCAAGTACATTTTCGTGCCATGTAAAATTCATTATTGTTTGTTATGTTTCTTTCCTTTTAGTTCCACCAAAGATTACTTCAGCTAGTGACAGTCAGAATGTAACTGAGGGTTCTGAACTGGTTTTGTTTTGCAATGGAACTGGTAAACCACAACCAAACATCACTTGGACCAGAGTGTTGGAGGTTGGTACTGACAGTCAAGAGCTGTTTGTTGGAAATCCTTGGATTATTGTAAACATCAGCAGAACTTCTACTGGAACATACCGCTGTACCGCTGACAATGGGATCGGAAGTCCAGTCAACCATACAATCTCTATGAAAGTACTTTGTGAGTACACCTTATTTATCTAGCTGTCCTTAATTCTTTTTATTTTGCTTGATTTCTGTGATCTAGCTCTATCTGCAAGTACATTTTTGTACCATGTAAAATTCTGACTAAAAGGGTTTTTTCAGCCTTTAACCCTACCAGTAGACGAAAAACCTTATAATTTGGCCATACAAAACTTAAGCTCACTTGGTTTGTCGTTATATATCCCTTACAATATTTGCGGTTTCGAGACACCGTGGGTTCAGACTTTGTGGTCACGTGACCTGGATCAACCGCTCGTGTTTGGATGCGTTCAAATCGATTCGTTTTCTCGCGTTTATAAGTGTTTTTTGAGCTACTTTCCCTCTACAGAAGCCCTCTGGACAGCATCATTAATCTGGAATATGGGTAGAGGCAAGCCTCTGAAGGTAAACAGAGGTGAGAGGTGGTTTCATGTAGACTGGACCGCCAAAATGCTTTCATACAACCTTGGCGAGTTCACAAGTGAATTCGTGTTTCTGGCCGATCTGTGGTATTACGGTGGCCCATAGGGGCAAAACACAACTCAATTTCTTTTCTGAAACACAACAATCTTTTCGAGAACACAACAATCTTTGCGAGAACACAACAATCTTTGCGAGAACACAACAATCTTTTCGAGAACGAAACAATATTTTGGAGAACACAACAAAATTTTCCAGAACACTAAAATCTTTTTCAGAACACAACGAAAATTCCTGATACACAACAATCATTTTGAAAATACAACAAAATTTTCTGATAAACAAACGCAAACTAGAACACAACAAAATTAAGTGAAACACAACAATATTTCAAAGTACTGGTAACTAACCCTGACGCTAAAAGCGACGCGCACCTGGGACTGGCTCCGGTCAATGTCATTAAAAGGCGCCATTTTGTACCGTTCATATTCATGTGGTTTGATCTGAATTGGCTTCTTCAAGTTCAGTAAGCGATAATCCAGGGGAGCAGAGCATAATTTCATATTACTTTACAAGAGGATATACGTGTGAAGCTATCACTAAATTTTTAGCGAATTTTCATGGCATTACGATGTGTGTACGAACATTGAAAAATAGGTTGAGGCAATTGAACTTAAGGAGAAGATTGCCATCTTTTGATATAGATGTTGTCCGGGAACAAATCTTGAATGAGCTTAGTGGCCCAGGCTGTCAAGGTGGATATAGAAATATGTGGCATACCCTACGACTAAAAGATATTCAAGTTCTTAGACATGTTGTAGCTGAACTTAGGAGGGAAATGGATCCAGAAGGATGTGAGCAGAGAAGGACAAAAAGCCTTAAAAGAAGAAGTTACTTCTCACCTTGTCCAAACCACACATGGCACGTGGATGGATACGATAAATTAAAACCTTATGGGTTTCCAATTCATGGATGTATTGATGGCTGGAGTCGAAAAATAATGTGGCTGAAAGTCACAAAGTCAAACAACCATCCAGAAATTATTGCCAATTTCTATTTGGACTGTGTAGCAGAGCTGGGAGGCTGTCCAGTGAAACTGAGGACTGACTGTGGAACAGAAAATGGCGCGATGGGAGCGATGCAATGTACATTTCCAGAAGATGCAGAAGCGCAAAAGTATGGGTCATCTACGTCAAACCAAAGGATTGAGGGCTGGTGGGCATTTTACAGGAGAAATAGGTCTGGTTGGTGGATTAACTTCTTTAAAAGCCTTCTGGAGAAGCAGGTCTTCAACCCTGGAGATGAGATTCAAATAACATGCCTCTGGTTCTGTATTGTTCAGTTACTTCAAGATGACCTAGATACAGTTGAAGAACACTGGAACACACATTTAATAAGGGGCTTTAGGCACGATACTATCAGTGGTAGACCGGATGAACTATTCTTTCTCCCAGAGCTTCATGGAGGAGTAGATGGTCAACTTCACCCGCTCTTGGACTACGAGATCCAATCTATGAGGAAGAACCTGACCTATGAAGGGGAGGAGAGCATCCATCAAGGGTACTTTGAACATGTACTGGAAAACACGGAGTTGCAGCTGCCCCACAGTATTGATGAGGGACTCTCTCTCTGTATAAAGAACTCCTTGAAATTGCTAACAGAGACGATGTTTAATGAGCAAGAAAGGGCTGTGCGATATCAGCAGGGGCAGGTTCATACACAAGTATTTACTTTGATTCAGGCTCATAACACCATGACTGATTTATACCTTGTATTTTCCATTTCAATACTGTGCAAGTAAACCTAAAAAGGTACCCATCAGACTCAACGTTAAAATCTTGTAATTTAATTATCCATCAACAGAGGTTACAAGTACTTGTTTAAAAGTTGTCTTCTGACAGCAAACAACTCCCCATAAAAACACCTGAAAGAGTTACTGGGAACTACACAATTTCACGATACCCATACACCAATATTTTACTGATGGCTTCCCATTCTTGGTACTGGTAATCATGCCTTACTGATGGTACTTGTTCTGTTGCACCGGTTGACAAGGACATAAAGAATTGGTGCCAAAACATTGTGATTACCTCTCGCACTACACCAAGACCTCTCCCTTCCTCGATCTCCCCACGCTCATTAATTATAACAAGATTTAGGTGGACATGCGAGTAGGGATGTCCAGGGCTTTGAATTCTTCTATCAAGTCTTTGAGAACTTGGGATCTGTGTAGAAGCACATCCTTGACTAATAAAGGTGCAGTACCTAACAAAAAAAGCAAACCCAACATTCAATTCAAACAAATCGGTTGGTTACGAGTAACTAATCTAAATAACCATGGTTACTAAACAAGAGAATGTAGGCAGGCAACAGCATGGAACAGAATGGAATATGGAGAACAAGAGCGAAGGACCCATGTGACCAGAGCCAGTCCCAGGTTCCGGTCGCTTTTAGCGTCAGGGTTAGTTACCATTACTTTGAAATGTTTTTGTGTTTCACTTAATTTTGTTGTGTTTTAGTTTGCGTTTGTGTATCAGAGAATTTTATTGTATTTTCAAAAAGATCGTTGTGTAACAGGAAATTTCGTTGTGTTCTGGAAAATTTTGTTGTGTTCTCGAAAAGATTGTTCTGTTTTCGCAAAGATTGTTGTGTTCTCGAAAAGATTGTTGTGTTTCAGAAAAGATTGTGAGTTGTGTTTTGCCCCGATGGGCCACCATACTAGGATGGCTACCAGGACCTACTAAGGCTTTTTGGGCCAGTTTTCAGTGGCAAAAGTCTCGATGGATGTGATATTTTGCTGGTAGGACTGGGTGGCCCGACACTTATAATAATTTGTTAAAATGGAAATGTGAGATAATAATTTGTTAAAATGGAAATGTGAAGTGTTCCCTTCTCGAGTTGTGATGGAATTTTCTAGAATTCTTTTCGGTCATAAACGTGGTAAAGGTTGTGTTTGCGACACTAGCTTTCGTCAAATGGAGAAACAAGGGCTAGCGGATAAAGTGAGAAAGCATTTTCCAGCCAAACAGCAAGATCTGGCCCTGAGGTGTGTTTTGAATGCAAACTTTCGATTTCTTGAGCAAGTTTTGATATTAAAAGATCGACACTTTTTCAGTGTCGCTCTTGGAGCAGAATGCTGGATTTTTTGGGATTTGTTGTTATATGAACGGTTCACCGCAATGGAAATCGGGAATCATTGTGGCTGTTTTAGGCTGCTGTAGGTGTCACATCAAACAGCCTTCCAATGTACACACTTACATAATGTTGTCTCTTAATTTCAACAAGAAACAAATTACAACAGTAGTCAGTGTTATCACACTGATGTATGCATGGCTTTCCCTGCAAGAGTTAAGATGAGATTCTTTTAAGTATTGTAAGACAGGTGCTTATAAAGCCAGCCCCTTATTTTAATTTTTGTATGAATATTTCACCAGTGGGGAAATATACAAAACCCTTGAAAAATTCGAATAGAAATAAGACATTTCAGCTTTGCAGTACAGACACCACGTTTATTTTGATGTTGGAAGCATTGAGTGAAATGACTTATTAAGTTATTTTTGGAGGCTAAGGTACATTTTTTGAATCGCCATTATTTTTTCCCGGCTGGAAGATCATCTCTAAATAATTAAATTTCAAATTTTAAATCCAGGAGACTGAACATTTTCAAGGTATGAACTTGGCAAGTTTCCGCTCATGTAGTCTTCGCAGGAAGAAATATGCACATGATACATATCATTCTGTTCTGCTGAGGTCTCCCAAAAACAATCTCCATCTAAAGTAACCTTGTATTCTTCAGTAAGATATCCTTTTTTAAAGGTTGAAAAATTTTTATTTTCAGGCACAGATTTATGTTGTTTCATTTTAATTCCCTCTTTTTTTGGTACTCTCATAAATAGATAGGTCTGTGTGGTGTAAATCAACTGGCTTTTGATAGATTTGATGGATGTAAATTTTCAGAAAAAAATTGCACTTTAGCCTCCAGAACTACCTCAATATTTTCAATTTCAAAAAGACTTGTGGGACATTTTGTTCCCATGAAATCAAATGCACCTCAACTCAAAGAAGCACTGCTGGTTAAATTGTTGTCAAGATTATTAGATTAAGATATGTCAGATAGTACATGACTGGCAAAAGTTACGTGAAAGACTGTGTAACTGGCAACAAGTCAGGTTTTAACATGCGCTTAGCTTTAAAATTTATTCACGTTACGGTCGATCGCGGTTGCTAAAGGAACAAAATAATTACTAGTTATTACAAAATACAAGTAGAAGGAATACGAAAATGCAAAGCAACAGAGGAAATGCAATTGGACAAGGAAAGACACTTACAAATGTTGTATGATTTTGTGGACAGTGAAGAACGGAAAAAACTTAGAGTTGATCGCAGTGAAGGAATCGATGCTAACCAAATGGACTGCGATACTCCAGTGCTTAATTTTACCAAGAAACATATGTAAAATGAAATTTATCAAGGTAAAATTTAATGAAATGAAATTTAAACAAAGCAAAATTATATGAAAAAACAGGGCAACCCTAAAATCCGGAAACCAGAAACCGGAATCCGGAATCGGGAATCGGAAACCGGAAACCAGAGACCGGAATCCGGAAACCGTTCTTGTAAATATATACTGATATAAGTTGTAATCTAGTGGACGAGCAATTCGAGAAAATACTTGCTCAAGTTTAGTTCGTAATATTTCAGCCTATAGTTAAGGATGCCAGTTATGTTGGTGTGACATATAGGCTGTATTGCAATTAGTACATAAACTTTTTTCAGGTGGCAGTGGGGAGAGTATTTTAAGTGTTCCGGTAGAACGTTAAGTTAGATGTGTCCTTTGATAAATGCTGTTACTGCCTTTATTATGTATAATGATAAATGTTTTTTGATTGTTAAGCAATTTTGAAGTGACATTTTATTTTGTAATTTTGCTCATCTGATGAGAGCTTGCTTTGAATGTAGCTGCTTTTTACTGAATGAAATCGACATATGGAGAATGTTTTTTTTTCAATTAGGCTTGTCTTTGAATTTTGATTTTGTGTAAATGTAGTGGGAAGGAGTGCAAGTTTAGCTTAAGGAGGCTCGATATAGTTTTTCACTTTCCTGATGCAAGATATTTAAACTAAAATTAACAAAGCTTAGCTTTAACAAATCGCGATCGCATTTTCCCCTGAAATAAAGATATTATTGAAGGATCAGTTTGTTATAAATATATTGAAAACTTCGTTGCCATGGCAACGTTGCTGGGTTGCAATGCTGGGTCCAAAATTAGACTTGACTTGAATTTTCTTAAAAACTGGACTGTGCATTTGTTTTAGATTTTGCATGCATCCTTTGACTGTCTTGGTCTACTTGACTGTTGAGTTTAAAAATTCTGTCAGAAAGTTTAAGGAAAAGAGGCCTTTTTTAGAATTCATCGCTAACTTTTTTTCCCTCTGACATAATTTTTTCGAATTTTTGTAAAACACGCACAGAGCCGTGAAATGTCACGCGGCGGGAATCCGGAAGTTATCGGCGTTGCTGTCTGTTTCTGTTTCTGTTCCTCTTCCACAACCACTGTCCTCCCCAACACAGTTCGCAGTGGAAGAATTGGATAAATCATAATCTACTAACTATGGATAAATATAGTGTTCCCGAAACCAGCCACGATATGAGAAAATAGCTCCGACGATCGCGATCGTGTTTGCGGGCGGATTCACGCGTATTTTGGTCTCTTGCGAGTGTTGTAGCTTTCCGTTTTTGAAACGCAGTACAAATAAAGTTTTAGAAGAAAGTGTAGGCAGCCTACCTATAGGCGTAATTAATAGTCTGCTGGGCAGATGAAAAAATAATTTTGGCCTGAGCGCGGCGGCCATGTTTGTTTATTTGTTTTTGTTTTTGTTTTTTTTTTTTGCAACTTTTTAAAAGTCCCGGCTCAAATAGAACCCAGTCTGCGCGCGCTAAAGAAACTATTTCCAGCCTCCTTAAGTCATTCCTTTGAAGCAGTTTCCCACTTAAATGTTTGTGGTATGGTTAAATGTAAGAACTAGAGAGAGGCTATGCATACTTGTTAAGGATTAGGGGCAGCCGGTCTTTTTTTTTCATATATGCTGAATGGATTTGTATTGAGCGGAATTCTCAAGTAAAAAAGACAGGGTTTTTCATATTTAACCATGCACCAGAAAGCGAAAACGTGGGTAAAAGTGAAGAGGGTCTTCCCTTCACTCTTCACCACCCAAGCTCAGACATCCTTATGACCCAAGGTTACCAATGTGCCCTTCTGCGTGGATTTTGTAAAAAAAAAAAAAAAAAAAAAATTTCAAGTTTCATTTTCCCCTTAAGCTTTATGTGAACTCTTTTGTTGTATTGTGACATAATGCATGCATAGGCAATATTCTCTTCCAAATAAATTGATTTGATGCAAATTTACATGTTCCCCTAATTGCCTTTTGGTAACGGGATAAATCATAGTAATACTTTTGTTAATATGATCTATCACTTTCATCTCTCCAGTTGGGATAAAAGATGTCACTTTGGAAAGGAACACAACAGAGAACAATGGCTGCAACGATTTCTGGGTGAATTTCACTTGTAAGTCGTCCGTGGCCAATCCACCAGTTCATGATTATCTGCTCCTAAAGAATGAAAACAAGGTCAGTTTTAGCGAAAAAGGAACATGGATAGAGAAGATATCAAGAGGAGAAACATTTGTCTACGAGTGTCGGGCATATCAGAAAATTGACAATGTCACAAGCTCAAATAATGTCACTGTGGCTGTGAATGGTAAGATTGCCATACTATGGAATGAAAAGAAACCACTTCCATGTTTTGGCAGTGTATAGCTAACAGAAGTAAAACATTCATTCATCATTCATTTGACGTTAAAATGGAATAAATAGACATAAAGGATCTAGGAAGGGGGCAATAGTTTCCTTCCCGCTCTGTTTTTTTTTATATAATTTTTTCTTTCGTAGTTTGGACGTGTAATGCATCATCATGAATTTGAAATGAGCTTAATGAATTTTAATACGTTGTGCGATTAACTGTCAGTAGTTACTTTTAGAAAACAGAAATTCAGTGCTGAAGTAAATCAATCACGGAGAACAAACTAGAATTCAAGGTAGCTGTCTTTATCGATCTTTAAGTGGACTGATGCGCGGGAAAACACGATTGCCAAAGTGGTGATTGGTTTTAGCGTTGATTGGTTCAGGTAATAGATGTTTTGTGGATCAAATACAGAGTATTGTTAAGTAAAACCAATGCAACCCTGGGTATTATTTTTTGTCTCCAGGCAACACGTCAAGATGTTGACCATCTTGACGTGTTGCCTTGAGACCTCACATTTTTTCACATCTCATAGGCTTTCTTAAGTAGTTTACTCTTTTTGGTTTTTGTTGAGAATACGTTTTACTTCTATGCATTTCCTTTGTGTTTTTTCAAAGGGATAGAACTTTACTATTTCTGTTAATTTATTCCCTTAGAGCCACCTGCATTGGAGCAATTACAGAATAAAACAGTTGATGAACATGAAAATTTGCTAGTGGAGTGTAATGTGACTGCAGGGACTCCTTCCCCTACTGTTTTTTGGGAGAATATTAAAAGTGGTCATGTCATTGAAGGAAAGTTGTTGAACGTAACTAACATCACAAGAAATCAAACAGATTACAGATGCATTGCAAACAACACTTGTGGAGGCAAATACGCAACGATGTTCATTGATGTACAGTGTAAGAAAATAATTACACAATACATCTCTTTTTGGTTCTTTGTATTCTCTCGGCAGGAGTGGTGTTTACTATCCGCAAACGTTGTTTTTCATTCTGTTATTTGCATAAGGTCATATTCTAGTCAATTTGAATTTGGCTATTCTGACTAGTTAACATTCAGGCGTTAATGTTTTCAAGATTCTAGTGTCTTATTTCTTTGAAGTTTTTAAAATTTTATTAGCCTATTCAATCAGAATTGCCATCGCACATAGTTGAGTGTTTGTTATTCTTTGCACCTCTTCATTATTCTAGTTCTTTTAACCTTTTTTATTTCTCAAAACTAGATACATATTTAACGTTAAGTCGGGTACCTTTCAACTCTATGACAGGGTATGACTTAAATGTGGTGTAATAAATTTTGTCTAAAAAGTGAAAAGGGGAGGATTCACTCATTAAGTTTGAAAAGCTCACCTTAACTGCTTCCACTTATCCCATATGCTTGGCAACCAATAAGCATGAAGTTTCACTAAAGTAACTTGGGCGTCTTATACACGGGAATTATATGATATATTCGTATGCAAGACATCATTATATAAGTCATGGCTTGACGAACTCTTTGCATAATTTCTTCCAGATGAGCCTGATCAAGTCAATTTAGATACAGCACCCAGTGGCACAGTCTGCCTGGGAAGTACTGTTGAATTCATTTGTACCGCTGATGCCAATCCACCAGTGCATGCTTATGTGTTGTATAAAAATGGTACGAGGGACAGTACAGACAAATTCGGAATATGGACAAAGATAATGAGCGTTGGTGGCAAGTTTTTTTTCAAATGTGAGGCACATTCTACGAAAGGAAACAGCATGAGCAATGATATCCTACTAAATGCTCATGGTAAGATTGTTGGTCCGTAAAGTACTAAGCGGCAGTTTCAACTGAAAGTGGTAAAGCTTTACTTGAGTCAGTCAATCCCAGGCATGCACTTTGCGGAAATTATCACTTCTCGATATGAAAAAAATTAATGGTTTTTTTTTTTTGTCATTATTTGTTGCAATTTTAATCTTACTGAAAAATGTGCAGCCTTGAGTCTAGTAATCTCTTCAATAGCAATCTGTATACGCCATTGATATTTATTGAGAAAATGCTGGCAAACGCACTGAAGTCTGAAGGGATCAAAAGTTCCTGTTAAGACTAAGCAGGGTTTGTTGTGTTGTAATTGTTAACAAATCATTTCACATATCCCTAAGGAGTATGAACAGGTACAGCAAATTATCAGGGGAACAGGTAAATTGACAAAGATTAACCTTCAGTGGACTAGTGTCCCATCGCAGAGGAGTTCGCACTAGTCCTAGTCGCTTTATGCTAAGGAAACCGGGGCATTATCCGGTAATGAGCCTTGTTTGGCTCGTGAGGAGACTTTCTCTGTATTTACAGTGATAGACAGTTGCTAGGGAGATTTGGTAACTTCTCAAGGGAGGATAATTTCTTTGTAGTGGACTGGCATGAAAGAGAGCGCATGTCCAATTAATAGACGTTATTCAGAGGTTTTGCGTTCTCTCTACCAATATACTTTGCTAAGGTTGGGTTAATAACCATAATAGTGATAGAATTGTAAGAAATATACAAATTTTTTGAAAGACATGTTTCGGCATGCATATGCCATCTTCAGTCAATGAGTAACTGAGTGTGAACAGTTATATAGTATACAAGTAGATGAGTAAATTGTTTACAATATTATGTAATACAAAAGCGTGTACTAATTACAACGTGACGCCAAAACATCAAAGGTGTAAACTAGAACGCTAGAAAAGTGTTATAATACTGTATTTCAGTAAATGGTTTGAACCCGGGGGTAACATGTGAAGGTGTAGTCTGATCGTCCGGGTGAGTGTAGTCCTGAGAAGGACTGTTGTCGGTGGGAGTGACTGACGTTTCGACAACCTGTGCGGAAGTCATCATCAGAGTCAAGTGAATGATTGTTGTCAGTAGAATGTTCTTATTCCAGTTCGTGTGAAATGATCGGTTGGTTTTGCCGTGATGTTATTGACTGTAAGACTCAAGTGACGTAAGTCACTTGAGTCTTACAGATTGTCTTGATATATTTATTGACAACTCTTCGAGCGATTGTGTTTTTTCAGTTTTTCATAAAAAAACCTACACTGGTCTCCTAGCAAATTTCTTTAGTTTTATTCCATCATGCTATAAAATTGGCCTTATCCGAACTCTTATTGACCGAATCTACAAAATCAACAACACTTCTTCCGGCCTTCAAAACGATCTTAATAAACTTTCCGACACTTGAAAACGTAATTCTTTTCCTCCGCATATAATTGACAGAACTTTCTAGCGGTATCTTGACGGGTCTTCCTCTCAAAAAAGCCGGAACATTAGTTAATGAGGACAATAATACACGTTACTTTAAATTCCCTTTTGTCGGTTATTATTCTAAAATAGCGAACCTTAAACTCCGACAACTCACTTAGCGCTTTTGCAAATCGGACCTAAATGTCAAACTAGTTTTCGCTTCTTTTAAAGTTAAAAACATGTTTAGTGTTAAATATCGTACTCCTGATGCTCTAAAATCCATGGTAGTTTACCAATTTTCTTGTGCAGGATGTAATTCCCGTTATATTGGCGAAACTAGGCGCCACTTTTCTACTAGGATAAAGGAGCACACGGAAAGCGATAAAAACTCGCATATTTTTAAATATTTCAACACATCTCCTTCTTGTAAGAACAAATAATCCCCTTCTTATTTTAGTATTCTTGATTCTGCTAACAACTCAATTTATTTAAAACTCAAAAAAACTTTTTATATAAATAAGATGATCAAACCTGAAGTTAACAAAAAAATACAGCATTATAGCACTTTACTAGCGTTCTAGTTTACACCTTTGATGTTTTGGTGTCGCGTTGTAATTAGTACCCGCTTTTGTATACATCATATTGTAAATAATCGATTCATCTACTTGTATATTATATAATTGTTCACACTCAGTTACTCATTGACTGAAGATGGCATATGCATGCCGAAACATGTCTTTCAAAAAAGTTGTATATTTCTTACAATATCTGTCATACTTGCTATTATTACGACCTTATAGTGATAATAATAATAATAATAATAATATTAGTAATAATAAATGATAATAATAACAGTTTTCAATCGTTGACTGAGCTTCTTACTCAGCAATGTTAACATATCTTTTTCAATTTATTCCTTTCAGACAAACCCACTGTGGAACAAGTACAAAATGTAACAGTCAATGAAGGCACAAATGTGACAAAGGAGTGTAATACTACCGCAGGAACTCCTCCCCTGACTGTTTTTTGGCAGAATGTTAAGACTGGTGACACCACTGGAAAGCTGTTGACTATCACTAATATTAAACGAAGTCAGCGTGGCGAGTACAGATGCATTGCAAACAACGACTGTGGAAAAGATTCTACAACGATCTTCATTGATGTGCAGTGTAAGAATATTCACAATACTTATTTTTTAAAAATTTTTGGTGTTCATTGATTTTAGTGTTTATTTTATGAAGGTAGATCGTGGACAAAATGTTCGACTCGTCGTTTCGTTATTGCGTTTCGTCGTTTACGCACTCCGTTACTTCTAGCCGAGTCGTTGTTTTCCGAGTTTGACCCGTCGAACTTCCAGTTCGACTCCCAGTTTTAGAAGTCGACTGATCGCTTTGTGAGTTCGTTTCGTCGTCTTGTCAGTTCGATTCGTCGGCTGGCCTCTTCGACTCGTCGATTTAAGAGTCCGACTCATTACCGACTACAACCGGGTTCGTCGTCGTTTGTCGTTTTCTCATTTCGTCGTTTCGTCATGGAGTTTCATCGTTTCGCTATGTCGTTTCGTCGTTTCGTTTTGTGGTTTCGTCGTTTCGACTCGTCCACTCAGAGGGGCTATAATTCAACTTAAATTACATGGCGTGTTACTTGATTCCATACACTCTTACATGACACGTTAACATGGTATTCATAATTCGCTCTCAGCTGGCGAACAATGGTTCCTTTGAAGAGCTATGCTAAAAGTAACATAGAATTCGTCTTGAATGGAGGTTAGGATTGTTTTCATGAAAGTGAAAATTTAATTGAATATTTAGTAACACACCTTCACAGAGTTTTGTTCATTCTAGCTCGTGCAGCTTCGTTATTCAACGTTTATTCAACGGAATTAAGTTCAATAATATAGTGATTTTTCTGTCTTTTACCAAAATGGTACAATTAAAAAACA